GATAGGTGGAAAAACACAAACAAGAGATGCTCTTACAAAAATCAGAGGAAAACAAGCAAGATACAATGTAGATCTACTTTTCAAGAGGTAGATCGCCCAGACGTCGCTAGGAACACCACAGAAAGAAAAAAAACAACAGTCAAACAAAAACATGGATGAAAGAAAACAAAACCTAGGTTCCCCTCGCTAAAAGAATCTCCCCACAGCATTTGAAAATTTTCCTTTCCCGCTTTCCCCCAAACCTCCTCTAATTTCTCCTCCTTGAATATGTGTATATGGCCCAAGTGGACCCCACCTCTTCTTTCCTTCCTCTGCGCCTCGCCCGAATCCCTCCACTTCTTCCCACAACAAAGGTCGGCTCGCCTGTGGGTCGGCTAGGTTGCAATCGGCTGGTCCCTCCTGAACTAGCACCTGCCTGGGCATACTGAGCATAACAGAGAGGTCGATTCACCCCCCCCTTCTCAATTGTACCGGTTTGGGCCAAATCAGTTCAACTTCTGGAGGAAAACTCCCGTGTCATTCTCCCGAGGTTGGGGGAGCTTGAACCTCATTCGTTGAAGTTTTTGGGTCCTCATGTTATTGCGGTAAGTTCTCTGTTAAGTCGATCATGTCGGTGTAGTCATTCCACAACACATTCTGGTATAATAGGTAGTCATCATCTTTTGGCACATCTTGAGCGGGAGCTGCATATAGAGGCGGGTTCTTGCAATGCAGCTCTTGAGTCCTTACATTTGAAATCTTCTCCTTCCACTTATCGTGTCTAGCATGCGGTGGTTCAGTAATAAGTGTGTGAGGAGAACTCGGTTTTGGGATGAAATCTATGGCAAGCCGCGCCACTCTCACTGGCACCTCAACAGGAGAAACCTCCTCCCCACAGATAGGATATGGATCCTATCGCAGAATTTTCATCTCCATCAAGCTCCTCGGGCCCTCTACAAAGTTGGGGTTCATCTCTTCCGTCTGGACATCTGACGAGGTGTCTATGTTGACCTGAAAGTAACCTATGAATATTTCCATGTAATGTTCTTAAAAGGACATACAATTATCTCATTTCTGACATGTTGGACCTCCCTCTTTCGGGCAACTCAGGAGGGGGTCTATACATATGAAAAATATGCACTCGCTTATCGGTGGTGAACCTATATCTAATGTCGGCTCATCGAACTCATAACCCTTGTAGACATCCAAGGTCGTTCTTGTTGATGTTCCTCTCACCGTCTGCAGGATGTTAGCTCGAGGCACCATAATCTCATGCTCTGATGGGCTGCCCATTACCTTAGAGTCACTACCTTGTAGATCAGTGACTATTACCTCTATTGGAACGACTATCTCACGGTCAACTGGATTTGGTGACGTCTCTTCTTCGCTAGCTGCAAGTGGAGAATCCTCTCAGAAGTCTTCATCTTCTTTTTGATCATCGTTCATCTCTTCAACTAGAAGCTGGTACTCTAGGTTTATGTCCTTACCGTCTTCAATGTCTGCGTGTCTTTACCCAACTTTTCAAAAACTCCTTCCTCGGTGAAGTAGATCACACCCCTGATTATGCAATCTGCCTTAACATGTTCAAATTTGTGGCACTTGCCATATTTTCTAGCTGTTACCGACTTGCGGATTGGTTTCGCTGGATAGCAGCCAGGAGGAGTCGCTTGATGTTGTGGTCTTTCCACGTCGAAAGCTAGAGTTTGCAACTTTCGGCGGTAGTAAGTTAGTGTGAACTGGCGTTGTGTTTCCCCCTTCATCTTCCTATCTTCCCGTCCCCCAATTCGACCTTTCGGATCATGATCGAGTGTAGCCTCCCATTGGATTTCATCTTCAATGTCCAACGTCGGCTGATCTCTCGCCGTATCTCCTCCCGAGTAGACCCAGACATGTATCTTATTAATGGGATGGCTAAGGTTTAGGGTTGGGAGGTGAAAGATGACACATGAGACTAACTGAAGGTGCATAAAATTTCATTTGGGATTCCTGATGTTGGGTGGTTCAGAGTAGGAAAGAAAATTGTCCAGTTGGAGGGTAAAGCGGACGCTAGGGAACCCTATAATAAGCCTAGGATTGAGCTAGCTATAATATCAAATGATACCAGATAAAAACCCTAATCACGACAGAAATAATAATATTATAACTGAAATTCAAAAGGTTACAACAAACACTCATCAAAACAGGAAATAAACGACAACAAACACTCATCAAAACAGGAAATAAAAGACAACTAACACAAATAACACCCTCGAGGTGATGACTAAAGGGTGGGCCATTAGGGCAGGACTGCTGGGCGTAGGTCGGACAGCAATCTGCGGGCTGTCCTGGCCTGGCGGCAGCAATCGGCGGATGGCCAGAAGGCTGATAGTAGCTGAGGAGGGACTTGTAAGAACAGTTGTTTGTTTGGGGAAGGATTGGGACTGACGGGTCGGGAATTCCAGCAAATACTGGGCTTTGGATGGGGGGCTGGCAGGGGTTACAGGATTGGCTGGTTGAAGGAAGAGGGGTTCGGGAATGGGTTTGTGGTGGAGGGGGGATTGCAGGCTGACTGTATATTGGATGGGAGTTAACAGGAGCGGCTGGGGCAACAGCAAAACTGCGGGTGGGATCTGCTACAGGAGACGGGAGGGCCACCTGCTGGGGAACAGGAGAAAAGGGTGGAAATGCGGGCTGCGGCAGGGAAAACTGCAAGCAGCAAGGAGGGGAGATAGAGAAAACGTCAAGGAAGATAAATCACCACCGGGAATAGGGATACAACCAGAGCACCACTCTAACAGTCGGATACAGTCCTTGAAAGGAAACAAGGATGCTGGTGGCTGCCCTCACAAATCAGAAATCAGCAATAACACAAAACTGAAAGCCATAAAGCGAACACGCATATAAATAGGAGATAAATAGGCAGGAAACAAAGATAGAAATGGGAGAAATTTCCCGCCAAATAAGAAGAGGAAGAAGGGTCGGTTCAGGCCCCCTCTAAACTGAACTGGTTTGAGCCAAATCGATTCAGCTTTTGGAGGAAAAGCTCCGTGTCAAACCATTAATTGGGCACTGCATACGAGGTTTCTCTGTTTTCCATAGATCGTAAACCTGATTAAGGGGCCTTAAAAATGATCAAGGGAACCTAATGGTTGAGGTACTCACAAATAATCCTTTTTTTTCTGAGGAAGATAGAATAGAGAAGTGAAAATATAATCCTCTTCTAAGAGACCATAAATATATATATTAATTAGCTGCTTTGAAACAAAAATGGTACAAGACAATCACCCTAAGGAATAAAAAATATTGCGTTACTTCCTCGAATATTCATTGCAGTAGAGAGAGTTTAAGACCTTAGCGTGCGCAAAAACCCACACGTGCACAAATAAGTATAAATGTTTTTTAGTATAAATGGGTTTCTCTGTTCTAATCACATAATTTTGACTATAAATCTAAAGAAGACAAGATTTCAAAGTCATTTTTAAAGCTTCTAACCCAAAAACTCAAGTGATTTGAGATTTTAAATGTGTCAAATCCATTCTTGATCAGATGAATTTTCTATATCATACCAGTTCCCTATATTTTATATTTTCAGACGTTAAAATCTACAATTGCCTCGGTTGTCAAAAGATTTTAGAAATAGAATAATAATTTATAGAGAATTCCCAAAGCATACCTACTATCTAAATGCAAATATGGATCTCCTCTTGAAGCTATGAACCAAGGTATTTTCCATTAAATAAAAATTCACCTTTCAGTAAGGTCTATAAATTCTTTTAGGTGAACATTGCTAAAAAAAATAAACTTAAATTGCTCTAAAAGATCACCATCAGATGTCTCATTGGCCTACAAGTGTCAAAATCGAGTTCAAAATATAAAAAAATAGTGTCGGAGGATCCCATAGTGCCCAGAGAAGGCCTATACAGACTCCAAAATGATGCCAACTCACCAGTCACTGACCATGCGACCTGTATACATCATGTGGGGTGGTCCGGATGGAGGGTAACCATTCTGATGCTTTTACACTTTTTTTTTTTTTACCTTCTGGCCTTAACCATTCTGATGCTTTTACACTTTTTTTTTTTTTTTGACCTTCTGACATTCAAATTTTACAATTTTCAAATTCCTTAAAAATTCTTTCTTTTAATCCTAACTCATCTCAAATCTTATAAATAATCCTCATAAGATATAGGGTAGATAATGATTTTTCAGAAGAATTCAGCAGCACTAACCATACGATGGTCACTCTAGAAGCCTCACAATAATTACATGTTTAATAAGGCCATACCCAGTAATAAATCAGTATTTTTAATCAATAAGAGACAAAAAATCATTAATCCAATAAGTTTTCAAGGAAATAATAAGAAAGCAAAAATCTTTCGGGAACATTCTATTGCAGATAAATTGATAACATGAAAACTGCACGATAATTTTAAGATAAAACAAATTATAAAATGTTGCAGTTTCCAGTAATTGTAATTCTGTTTAAGGATTCAACATTTTTATTACTATTTCCAAAACATCTACACAATTTCAAACTTTAAATAGGCTCAACAAGGTCCTAGCAAAAATTTATCTTAGCATCAGCCACAAAATATTTTGCATATGGATTCAATCATGACGGATAGCAGTAGTTTCCTAATATAAGGTCAGGCACAAAAATAAATGCATTTCATATCTCTAACACTGAATCTCTAAATAAAAAATCAAAATTAATTGAAGCACCTCACATAATAAATGACTACACAGAAATAGTAACTTGAGCTGAACTGCAATAATTATATAAAAATAATTAAAAAAAGGGGTTTAACATACATACCACACAATTCTTGTAAATTTACATATCTAACACCTAAATATTCATATTTACATGCATACTAGTCAAATCTTTAGCATCACATCAAGTATACCACAATCACAACCTTATGCACCAAGGTGCTATAAGGGTAAATATCAACTTTGAGTGTTAGATATGTAAATACATAAGAATTGTGTGGCATGCATGTAAATTTCCGAAGAAAAAAAACAAGATTGGAGCTGCCTACATCAGAAGGTATGCCATAATGCACAAGCGTGTTGACAAGTATAAGAGGATCCGTTTGACCATGGTGCTGCAAATATAAAGAACAAAGAAGCAAAATAAAATGTTAGAGATGAAGTACGTGTTGATAGTACATTGCTGTGAAATCATGTGCAAAGAAATTAATTCATATTTTAAGAACAAATAACTAATACAAAAAGTACCCATAAATTAAGCTTCAACCAATTTTTAATATTCTTAAAGCACCCTGTTCTCGAAAAGCCAGTAATCCAAAACAAAAAGTATGACTTCTCTGCTAAAACTTAAAGTGGAATTTACAGACATAGCACCCAATTCTTATGCATTTACTTATCTCATGCCCAAGCTTTGATTTTTACACCTAAAGCACCTTTCCCTATGTATGAAAAGGTGGAAATAGTGTAATCCACCTTTTCAAACATAGGTTAGGGTGCTCAGGGTGTAAAAATCAAAGTTTGGGTGTGAGATACGTCCATGCATAAGAATTAAATGTTATGTATGTAAATTTCCGAAATTTAAAATAGTTTGTGGATTCAACAGATTTGGAATGAAAAAAATATGATATGCTAGGTACCAAACAGGAACTTATCAGAATTAACATGAGTGTTGCAATTTCCAAAACCAAAAGGATATGCACTTTCCAGTCTAGAAAAAAATGAATAGCTTTCTTGAATAACTACAATAAAAAATAAAAAATAAAATTAAAATTAAAGAAAAAATAGCTTTATAGTTCAGCCAGGTAATAATCATTACATTTGTTTAAGTGGAGTAACAGATAATCATAAATTAGTCCAACTAAACTTTTTCATACATTATTTAGCAGTTTTTTTTCTACCATTCTCCTAGATAACTGATAACCATCAGGAGCAAGAAAAACATTGCCTTCAAATTATAATACTAGCAGGATAGTGATTGGTGGAAAGCAAAATATGTAACATTTTAGGTTGATGGTAGGATAAGCAGGGAACGGTTAGCTGCATCATTCGAAACAAATAAATAAATTAAGAGAGAAAATAGAATATGAACTTCAAGAATTTCTTTAATGAGAATTTCAATAAATAAATTTCTTTGATGAGCAAGACGAACAAAAGCTTCAAGCATTTGAAATGATCAGAAGATAAATTAGAGTAATAAATTCAAACAAGTGAGATTATAAAGCTTTTCCGTTCAAGATGAGATGCCTTTTGCAATGAGAGAATTAAGGGAGATGATGAACTGGTGTCCCTAATAAATCAATTTACTAAAAATAGTTAAGGCTAGAGTCTTAAAGACAATGTATTCTTATTGTAACGTTTCACGTTGTTGTCATGTACATTATATTATTATAAAAGAAATGGGTATACTGTTTTGCGACTTTGTTTTCATTCTCATGAAGCCATAGAGGAAGTGCATGCCCCCATATAAACTTTTTTGCTGCACTTTTCGCACAAATTAAATTTTTCGTATACTAAAGTTTAGGAAAAGAAATAAATAGAATAGCATCATTGAACGAAGCCTAAGAGAAAATCAATTGACTGCGAATAATCATTTTAGCTTAAACTTCAAGAGGAATGGAAATAGTCAATGTTGTCATAGTTATAAAAGAATCGAACTCAATAGTCATAAAATGAAATTATGGAGGAAAGTGTTGCAATATGGCTTTAGAAAAATCACATCAATATCAAGAAACTCAGAAGGGTTTTATACAAAGGATATCTAGCATGGAAGCATTTTTTGTGTTACGAAAACTAATAAGCATCCAAAAGGCAATAAAAAGATCTTCATATGATTTAGTACCATAAAAGTTGATTGGTTGACACTGTGGAGAAAATGTTTGTGTAAAACATGACTGGCAATCTAAGGAACTTCAAGGCCAATACAAGAAGGCGCTTGATCAACTAGTTAGATATCTTTTTTATTGTTTTATTTTATTAGCTATATACATTAGAAGTTGATCAACTTTGGTTATTGCCAATTCTATCTTTTGAGTAGAGGCAATATTTGTAATTATGACATGAATGCCCTCCGACATAAGAATCATTCTCTTTATAAGCAAATTGATGATTATGAATGCAAATGTTCCTTTCATTTAGTCTCTCCTTATCTCCTATTGATCTATCTTCTCTCTTCCCCCAACTCCCTCCCTCCCTCCTCCCTCCCCCCTCACCCCTCGCCCCTCCACATATATTTAGACCTATGTGCCACCAAAACCACCAAATCACTACCTCAGTTATCATCATCCTAATGTAAGGAAGAATCAAAGCTTTGTAGTGTGTTGCATTAATTTGGTATTAGAGCACCACCCTCTTTATGTTGTATTGATATGTATTACAGCATGGTTAATCCTTTTTCTTGATTTCCTGCAGCTAATCCCATCAGCTACAGCATTATTGCTCGCCATTGAACACGAGTCACATATTTTACCAGCAGCTACACTCTCCACAATCCACCACTAGAAATTCCACTCTTTATCAGTTAAAAAATATCCTAATTTCAGTGGATTTGCAGTAATTTTCGTCCGCTAGTAAAATCCACTTTGAAAATGCTTTCTAGCACATAGTGAAACGATATGAAAATATTTCAGATGGATTTTCCATCATAAAGTGTTCAATTAAAAGCTGTATCAATTTTTTTAAAACATATATCTAATTGGTGTAAGAATATATATATATTATAATTGGTGTAAGTATATATATATATATATATATATATATATATATTGATCTATTTGTTGAAGAACACAGTTAGCAAATACAGAGAAATGATGTCTGCTTCCTTCTAATTATTCAAAGACATTTGTCGAGTAACTAGATATCTTCTTTCCTAAGCTTTGTCCAAGTGTCCAAAACCATTGTTTCTTTCTTATGAATTACGACTGTCACGGCACACACCTTGTGTTATTTAATTCTCAGAAGGCAATCAGTTGTCACCTCATGCTAGAAAAGATACACATATATTAAAGAAATTCCAACTCCGGCAGCTTCGATCAATTGCTCTGAGCATCAGGAAACCCAAAAAGATCATACCCAGTTAAAACTCGCAGCAGCTTTTTCCCCAATTTGTCCGTTTCAATGGAGCAAGATGAGGATGATGAACAATTAAACCGAAACAATGGAATGCAAGATCCATTACAGAGAGCAAAGGTTGGGGGCCAGTACGGGCGAGTGAGGGTACCTGGATGGCGTCGATGCTGATGTCTTCGAGGCCGAAGATTTGGAAGAAGGCGTGAGAGAAAGCTTGACGGTGGAGTCGGTTGGAAGAGTTTCCAGTACTCTTGATCAGAGTGCCGTCCACATCAAACGTCACCATTACTCGCTTCATCTTCTTCTCTTCTTCCCCCATTCCTCCTCCCTCTCTCCCCCGCTCTCTCCCTCTCTCTCTCTCTCTCTGGGATTCTTCTCGCTACTAGCACTGTGGCCCAGCCCGTTCGTAAGATTCTTGATGTATACAGTAGGGACGGTAAAAGGAAAGAAAAGCAACAACTGGTGGTGTTGTTTGATTCATTTATTAAGCAGAGAATTCAAATACCGACAAATATTTTTGACCTTATTTTGTAAACGAATCGTATATTAATAATAATTTTTTGTTTGTATCCGCTTGATTTGACTTCAAATATTTAAATAACTAATAATTAATATTAAATAATATTTTTATTTATTAAATTTTATATTATATTTGAATAATATATTTATACATTAAACAATTAGGGCTGTCTGTTTGGAGGACAAGATTGTAAGTCTCTCCCAAATTTTGAACACACGATTCTACGTCTCGCTCAAATTTGGAGGACATGATCGTAAGTCTCGCCCAGCTAGTCTGATCCTCTTCATTTCAATATTAGAGTTGATAAATCTAATAATTTTGAAATAAATATCAAAATCACTCCTCGTAGGAACTAGAGTTGACAAGCTTTTGATTGACATCAGCTCACTGCAGAACTAATGTCATACCTCACGCCAATATGGAAATGACCTAAGTCATCTGTCACATGGTTTGACCAAAAAACTCCATAAAATAGTGGTTATGACTGGAGCATCTGACCCAGTGTTTGTTGCTAAATGACTTCATTATACTATGGTTACTATTGAAGCTTGTATGTTCTCAAACTGTTTATTGCTCTTTAGGTTATGAAACATAAGAGTGTATTTGATTTGACACAAAGCATTGTATAAGTTAAAGTGGACTTAAATTTAACCCCTTAGACAAACATCCACCAGACATCTACAAAAATCCATTGGACGACGTAACCCACTATTGGTTTGGTTGCTGACAATAATTAGTCAGCTTGGGCCCACTACCTCTCCTGACTAAGTGGATCAAAAACCACGATGACAGTTGATGGAGTCATAGGATTTTGATCGGGTTTGTCATATTCCCCTACCATATGCTTTAAAGTTCAAATGATAGAGACTACAATTGAAAATGTATGTATGTTGCTACTATACATTAAATATTCAACTCTAAATGCCTTGTATTAATTGAAAATGCTCTCATATTATCTGGAGGGGTAATTAACCATAAGGGTTAATTTCTATTGGAAACCTTGAACCCCAAATCAAATAGTCTTTGCAAAATGAGGGTGAAATCTCTGGGTAATATCTTATCTACTATTTTATCTGCCTTTTGAAAAAGTTAATCCTTTAACCTCTCTTAAAAAAAAAAATAAATATTTTTTGGAGCTCACAAACTTGTTTACAACCGTAATAGTTTGACTGAGGAAATGAAATATTTTGTTATTTTGCTATTTTGTCTCTTTTTTAACTATTTCAGACGATTTTATAATTTTTTTTTTTCCCGTAAATTGCTAAACATTTAGCGCTTAAGTTATTAGTATGGTTAATTTTGTTCTTTGTCAAGTCCATGTTCTTTTATCATCGGATGAGGAAAGAGTAAGTCCTTTTTATTTATTAACATATTTTTTTAGTTGAATTTTAGTGATCATTTGGTTAAAAATTAATGATTAGAATATACTTTAAAATCTACTAATTTGAGAAAAAATTTCTAAGAACTTTACAGATTTTATAAGAATTGATACACCTAGAAGAAATTTCTATCACGCGTCATTAATCTCGAGATAACTTTTTTAGCAAAAAAAAATGTTGAATCTTCGATTAAAAGTCATCCAGAACCCACTTTAACAAACTTATAGTCACATTGAGCAGCTCGGCGAGACGGACCATCGATAACAAAATTGATCCAATCTGAGTCAAATCAAGCCGAGATCAAGCCTTTAAACAACTTTTAGATGCTTCTCGGGCATATTTGAAAGATCAAATGCATATTGAATCTAATAAGCCAATAATTGAATGGAGTGTGTCGATAAGATGAGTCCAACGAGGCCAAGATCATAAAATTCTGACATTAATTAGATACTCAAATGTCCATTAACCACCTTCTGATTGAGAGAATCTCTCTAGATCGTCTGATCAGAATGATTCATATTAATTTATTCATTGCAAACGGAATTCTATAAATAGAGTCATACCATTCTCTTTAAAAAGGGAGAAAGAGCTTGAGGTCTGAAGAAGACTGAAGCATGAAGAAGCTAAAGTTGCCTCTACTCGTATAGTCACAAACTACTACCGAACATCATCGATCACTACTCGCTAGCCGTTGTCAATCACCATCGGTCGCTGCCCACTCCTTGCGATGAAGCACTGTGCGAAGCAACAACTGACGTCACAAAGTTATGAAGCAATGTGCGAAGCAGAACATCATCCCGAACATCGGGCTGACCTAAAGAAAGTGCAACAAAGCATGTTGAAGATGATGTAACGACGTGCCTCACATATGCTCCTGTAGGTCCCTCACATACGCTCGTGTAGGTCCCCACTCTGGCCCCCGCGACATATGAAAGTCATTACAACTCACCACTACGATCTAAGTAGTCTACAGCTTGTGCAACTCCCGACTCCAGCCCTTGCGGCTTATAGACGTCAGTACAACTCACCTCTACAACTTACATGACCAACAATGACCCACATGGTTCACAGCTCGTTCAACTCCCAACTCCAGTCCATGTGGCCTACGGACGTCTTTACAACTCACCACTACGGTCTACATGACCAACTATGACCTACGTGGTCCACAGTCCTTGCAACCTACGAACTTTATTATTACTCATCACTATGACATACATGACCAAGTACGCCCTATGTGATCAATAGTTAGTGCAACTCTGACTTCGGTCCTTACAACCCACATATGTCTTCACGACCACCATTATGGCCTATACAATCTACGTTGTCCACAACACCGTATTACAACCTCTATGACCAACTAACACTCCTGAAGCAATCATTTATGACCCACCTGAATAACTACTGTCATGATTTTCAACTACAACTTCTATGATAAGCTGGTGTTACAACCACCATCTACAACAGTTACGAAAAACTACCACCCCCGCGACAATCGACTATGGCCCCTGCAATCTACTGTCGCCAGGAAATACAACCAGATTGCAGATATACAACTTCATAATTTTATGTCCCTAATTCAAGAGATGAATTGACATGTGTACTCATCATTCATATTGGATTATTTCAAATGGGCTAGACCCCACGATCTTTTCCCATTTCCCCTTGTCACTAAAAAAATCGAGGTGTCACCTCCTGCTTTCTTTTTTTTAATTACCTGAGTGTGCGTTAATTATTCATACAATGCTAAAATAATAAATAATCATTACACTACCGCAACGAAGCTTCTAATACACATCAAGAATTGTTTGTCTTCTAAGAGCTTAAGTTGATTGTAGTTCATAGGTTTACAATGACATTGGAGTTAAGAGTATATATTAATTTAATGTTTTACAATTTTGTCTAGAATTAGTTTAAGTTTAATACAAATTTTAATTAATAGTCTATATATTATTTTGCTGAATTTACATGCATACCACACAATTCTTGTGCATGTACACATCAACATCCAAACATTGATATTTACATGCACAGGACTCAAATCTTTAAAATCACATAAGAAAATCACTATTACTTATTTTTTAAAAGTGCAATACACCTTTTCAAACATAAATTTATCAGACCAAAATGTCATGCATCTGATTATCATGTGCATGTAAATTTCTCTACTATTTTGCTTCATAAATTATCCTCAATAAAGAAGAAGATGACCACTTACACAACTGCTGTTCACACACAATTTCATAAAGCATCAAACATATAGCTGACTGAATAGCCTTCTTATCTCAGAAAGTAGAGTATAAAAGCCTTTTATTTTCCCAAACAATAAGATTCGGGGCTTCAGCAGAAGCTGCAGAGAAAATACAGGTTTGATCGGAGGAATTGGAGTCGGTAAAAAACATATGAAGAGCAGCTACTGCTTGAGCTGAAGCTTTTTAATTGATTCAATCTGCTTGGCAGGATTTAATCCCTTTGGACAGGCGTGTACACAGTTCTTTATGGTATGGCACCGATACAGTTTAAATTCATCATTAATGGCATCCAGACGTTCCTTTGTATACTGGTCGCGGCTGTCTTGAATCCATCTGGAACACAATAGATAAAAATATATATACATGTATGTGGTTTTAAGATATACTATAGGCAATCAATGATTAACTTAAACCAAACTGATTTTAGGAAGTTTTACATACATACCCTTAAATTTCTATGTATTTATACATCTAACTCATAAATGCCATTTTTTACAGACACGCGCGGCGCGCGTGCGCGCGCGCACACACACATATATATACACACACACTGTTAGAAAACAAGAGAGACAAAAAGGTGGCTAGGGTTTTTGTCAATGATTCCCAAAATCTCATTACAAGAGTATATATATATGTACAATCAGGAAAAGACAAAACTATCCTTAATTGATAGAGAAATAGAAATACAAAACTATATTTAACATCCCCCCTCAAACTCACGATGCATCGAGGAGAATCATCGAGAGTTTGCTAATCAAAAAACAAAAACGTTGAGTGGAATGCGATTTCGTAAACACGTCAGCAAGTTGCATGGAGGAAGAAATATAGGGTAAGGTGATGGTGCCATGCTGAAAATGATGACGAGTGAAATGACAATCAATCTCAATATGTTTGGTGCGCTCATGAAACACTGAGTTGCGGGCAATTTGTATAACACTTTTGTTATCACAGTACATAGGAGTGGGGCTAGAGAA